CCTGCAGTTAAGGTAGTTCTAAATCTGCCCTGACAGTTGGGATTGTCTTGGATCTGCTCTGACAGGACTATTCCATTAGGACGCGTCGAACTGCGAGTAAAAAACATGAAACCCTAGTTGCTTTCAGGCCCTTTAAAGGGGCATTTATTACTTGTGCCCTTCAAAAATCGTAAATTCAGGAGTGTGGCATTAAAAGCCTTTACGCCTCTCTAGGGCGCACACGGTGTACTAGCAAATAAAAAAAAAACAGTTGAAAATTAAGCTGAACTTTTGTCTCTGCATTGCAGGAGCCCCAGCCCAGACGTAGATTCACAAAGTGAAACAGCTAACTGCAAGTGCACCGTGATGAAAGTCGAGTCACTACCGGCACTAATATTGCGTCTTAAGGGTTATTGAAAAGATGACTTTTATGAAATGTATACCGGCCCACGCGGAAAATGGTTCCCCTACATGTTAAAACTATCCTAGGAACAAGGGGAGCCCGATCCAAAAATGCCTAGGGGTCGCCCTACCTTTTTTAAGGTTGAATTTCGGCGTAGTTTTTCAGAAGTCCTAGTTTTAACGCTCCATGGGCTCTAAAAGCCGTGCGGTGCGTCTTGGCCGCTGGGTATCGATTGGCACTTCTTCTACTCAAGTTCCGGAAGAAAATGAGACCTATTGGGGTTGATTTGGTCGCACGTTCAAAGATCTGCACCAATTTTTTTGCTCTAAAAACGCGTTTTTTGTGCATTTTTTTACATTTTGAGGGCTATTAAAGCTTCTGGTATTATTCAAAAAAAATTGAAGTGAATGGTTCTTATAGAGAAAAGTCTGGCCTTTCCAACGAGCCTAGGCGGAAGATTGTGCGATTTTTAGTTTAGGCGCTAGAGCAGCTCAAAGTGTGTTAATGATTCAAGTTTTTCTAGAAAACAGCGCTATCGCATGTGGAAGACGTAGGAGATAGTCAAAATACAGGAAAAAAATTAAAAATAAATTGTCTGCAGAGTATTAGTGTGAGTGAATGAATAAGACCGTCGAAGCCCACCGCACCATAGCGTCCCTCCAAACTTTCACTTCTGTGGTCGTTCTCGCGCGCGGGGTAGTGACGGTAGGATACGTGAGGTGGAATCACTGTGGCAAAAAGGTACGGAAAATTCTGTTAATTTTTTTGCCAGGATTCTCCGTAGCCCTCTTACGGTATTCTCCGTTAGGCCGTACAGTATTCTCCGTACGACCGCACATTCTTCTCCGTAGGACCTGGAACACTATGGTCTTCGAAGATCACTGTGAGAGCCTACGGAGAATACTGACAAGAGGGCTACAGAGAATTACCACAAGCTGTTCACAGAATTTTCCGTAGCTTTTTGCCACAGTGATGGGGGAAGCCTGCCGGTGGTGGGGGCTGCTGGCGTTAAGTTCCGAAACACCCGGTACCTAGTGTAGTGCAACCGCTGCTGCCACCGGCCGGCAGAGCGACCGAACGCATCAGCTGTCAGTCTGTTCGGAACTTCAAATTGGGATGGCGCGTCGCAAGACCTCGGGCGGACGCGTGCTGCACAGTTCGCGGACATGGGGGAGGATCTTTAAGGTGAGGTGTGGGTGAAAATTTGTACAAAAATTGATAAAAATGATAAATTTAATCCACTTGTTATTTTAGTGCATAATATTCTTATCGACAGCATGTCCTAAAGGTCTGTGTTATGAAACCCTAAGTAATTGGTTCATCTAACACGGACTGATGTATGCAGGCGCCTTTTCTGGTCACCCACCTCTTACGACAAGTGTCGAAGAAATTTTTTTTCCACTACGTCAACTCCTTCCTGACCGCGAACTGCGCAGCACGCGTTCCCCGCGGTCTTGCGACGCGCCATCCCAATTTGACGTTCCGAACAGACTGACAGCTGATGCGTTCGGTCGCTCTGCCGGCCGGTGGCAGCAGCGGTTGCACTACACTAGGTACCGGGTGTTTCGGAACTTAACGCCAGCAGCCCCCACCACCGGCAGGCTTCCCCCATCACTGTGGCAAAAAGCTACGGAAAATTCTGTGAACAGCTTGTGGTAATTCTCTGTAGCCCTCTTGTCAGTATTCTCCGTAGGCTCTCACAGTGATCTTCGAAGACCATAGTGTTCCAGGTCCTACGGAGAAGAATGTGCGGTCGTACGGAGAATACTGTACGGCCTAACGGAGAATACCGTAAGAGGGCTACGGAGAATCCTGGCAAAAAAATTAACAGAATTTTCCGTACCTTTTTGCCACAGTGATTCCACCTCACGTATCCTACCGTCACTACCCCGCGCGCGAGAACGACCACAGAAGTGAAAGTTTGGAGGGACGCTATGGTGCGGTGGGCTTCGACGGTCTTATTCATTCACTCACACTAATACTCCGCAGACAATTTATTTTTAATTTTTTTCCTGTATTTTGACCATTTCCTACGTCTTCCACATGCGATAGCGCTGTTTTCTTGAAAAACTTAAATCTTCCGCCTAGGCTCGTTGGAAAGGCCAGACTTTTCTCTACAAGAACCACTCACTTCGAATTTTTTGGAACCATACCAGAAGCTTTAATAGCCCTCAAAATGTAAAAAAATGCACAAAAAACGCGTTTTTAGAACAAAAAACTGGTGTAGATCTTTGTACGTGCGACCAAATCAACCCCAATAGGTCTCATTTTCTTCCGGAACTTGAGTAGAAGAAGTGCCAATCGATACCCAGCGGCCAAGACGCACCGCACGGCTTTTAGAGCCCATGGAGCGTTAAAACTAGGACTTCTGAAAAACTACGCCGAAATTCAACCTTAAAAAAGGTAGGGCGACCCCTAGGCATTTTTTGATCGGGCTCCCCTTGTTCCTAGGATAGTTTTAACATGTAGGGGAACCATTTTCCGCGTGGGCCGGTATACATTTCAAAAAAGTCGTCTTTTCAATAACCCTTATGCGTCTTCACTGAGATTCCAAACGCTATGAGTATAGCACGTATGGTGCAATGCGCTGTGATATTGCACCATACGTGCAATGCCACAGCCATGTTTCACCTTTGGTGCAATGCTTCCCGAAAAGGCCCTATGCTAATGCATGGGAAATGGGAGGCATTGCACTTCATGTGCAATGCTTTTGCATTGCACCAATTGACGCTATACTCATAGCGTTTGGATTCTCAGTGTTCTAACCCGCTGAGAGATAGTCATTTCGTTAATTTGTTTTTGTCAACCGGAAGTGAGCCAAGGCTCACGTCTCAGGGCACTAAGCACGGACGGCTATCTCAGAAGGATGAAGAATGAAGGCAAAGAGACTCAGAGAAGTTATCTACAGAAGATGGGTCGAAAATCTCCAGCATGCCTGTTTATGTTTATGGACCGATTGTTTTGACGTTCATCAGCCCGTTTCTTTTTTTCGTTTGTTTTTTTTAATTCATGTGCCAAAGAATGTTACTTCAAACAGGCCAGTTCAATTTCTTTGAAAAAATAAATAAATTAGGAAGTAGTTCATACTTTTCCGGATTGGTAGGAAACGTATGCCGTAGTCTTTTTTTAGTTCGTATGTTGAGTTAATTAATCCCAATGAAACAGTTGTTGCTAACAGTGTATGTGCAAACAAAAATAAAAAGGTACCAGTTTATTTACTTCTCAATATAATTCCCCAACAATGTCTCATTTCCAGAAAAACGATAACGCTGATATTGAGAAAGCTCCTCAAACCTATTGCTAAGTACGCATATCATTTTTTTGAAAAAAAAAAAAAAACGAAAAGTGAAGCCAACCCAGATCACTTGATGGCTACGAAATAGGCGTCGATTTTCACGTTTAACCCTGTTCAAACCATAAAATTGTGATTTTCAACCTTGATTTTGGTCTGAAGCACTCTGTTCTGGGAACGCCTGAAGTTTCGAAATATGCATCTCCCTCTGAAAAGATTGTTCAAAGAAGAAATAACGTATCTTGACACAAAGACTGGCGTGGATTTTTAGCGAAACGCAAATTTTTACCAAAATCGGAATGTATAGCCCCCCCCCCCCCAAAAAAAAAATGCAGGTGATCTTTATGCGCCGAACAGTTTTACTTTTCGCACTCATTGGTGTGACTTTTCGTAGCCTTGTATTTCAATGTAAATTACAATAGTAATAGTATAATAGTCATTACAATATACAATAACAATATAAAATTGTAAATAAACTGAGTCCTTTGAGCCGTGGCCTGCACCGCCGCGCCGTGCCCGTTGGATTGAGAGCGCCAGGTGCCTCTGCACTGTACGCGGGGAGGGATCGACAATGTTCCGCGCAGGCCGTCGCGCGCGAGAAGGGGGTGCCATCGAGGGGTCAACTACTCAGCACTGGAGTGTACACAGGATTACCGATTACCAGTGATTATCTACAAAAATACTCAAAAAACTCTATAATTTGGGCCAGCTAAGAGCATTTTGGCCTTCTAGAAACCCCCCCACCCACATACTATAAAAACGGCGAAAATGGCCAGTTCTGGCGTGTGATTACCACTGATTACTGGACGAAGTGTACGCACGATTACCACAGTGGTTGACCCCTCGGGTGCCATTGTTTACGCCCGGTGCCGGTCGCGCCGTACCGGGGGAGTTAGTGTCGACTTTTCGCGCAGCCGAGCCCCACGAGCCTCACTCACTATCCCGCCCCGGGGCAGCCAGCCCCTGTTAGGATACCCACTTTGGTTTCTGGACTCTCGAGTAAAAGCTAGCTGACACCTTTATGTGTCTTGCCTCGTTCTTGGTATGTTTCGAAGTAGTAAAGGTATCATCTGCTAAAAAGTTTGAGCCCGATCCGAGATGGTCGCCGGCCAAGTGGCTTGTTGGGTCTGGAACGCCTCTAAGGCGCCGAGTTTATCGATCCGAGGCCCGGCGGCGGAAAGGGGGTGGGTTACGAGAGAAAGCGGGGCGAGGGCGGAGGCGGAGGTAAGGTCTTATCAATCTTACCTAGGCGGACGGGGGTGGCGAGGGGGCTCCCCTGCAGGTCATGAAAACGCCGCTTGCTGGACTCCGCCAGTATGCCTGGGTGTTACCAGCGCAGCGCAGACACGCTGCTCCTCGGATATTGCTGCAGGAAGCAGTGAGAAAACGTATTCGAATAGGGCCCCTCGGAATTTCGCACCGATCTGTGTGCTGAAACCTTGCACCTAAAAGTTTCGTTTCCTCATTCCAGGTCGGTTTCCTCCGTTCCCACACGTTTGCCGCACGATGACGACTCTGGTGCGCGCGGGCTCCCTCGCGTCGCGCCTCCTGCAAGCCGCGGCGCGCAAGCGCCCCGTGCAGGTGATCCTCCAGCACGCCACGGCGCGGAAGCGACCGACGCAAGTGATCCTGGTCACTTCTGGATTGTCGTATTATTTGAGGTAAACACTCAAAAAACCTTGCGAAGTATTCTCCGGCATTGTGTTGCAAACTCTCTTACAAACTATTTTCTTTGCATTGCGAAGTATTACTTTTCAATTTGCGAAGAAAATGCTATGATTTACAACGTTACAAACCAATGCTTCGCAACGTTGCAAAGTTTCTCTTCGCAATTTACGAACTATTTCTTTGCAATGCGAAGAAAAAAGTCTGCAAGGGAGTTTGTTATATAAAGCCGTAGAATACCTCGTACTGCAAAGTACTTTTCTTTGCAAGCTTTTAAGAGCCAAGAATCATTATCACAATAGCAACATTCACACTAATTGTCATGGGACTTTTTTTGTCCCACGGTTTATGCAATTTTAAGCACATCCGGTGGTGATGCAATTTTGTGTCCGCCAGGCGGGACAAATTGTTTTGTGGAAGTAGAAGTTGCAGCTGGCGCCGGACAAAATGTGTCACCAGACGGGAACAAAATTGTATCAGTGTCGGATGTGCTTAAAATTGCATAAACCGTGGGACAAAAAAAGTCCCATGACATTTAGTGTGTTGGCACCTGTGTTTTTATGGACGGGCGCGTACAACAGCGTAAGATTATTATATTTCTTATTACAAACAATTTTGCTCATTTTATTGTATAAAAATTGTCCTTTATTGTCCTTTAATTGTCCTCGAGTTGTGCAATTTTAAGCACATCCGACGCTGATAATAGTTCCCGCTTGGCGACACATTTTGTCCGACGCCAGCTGCAAATTGTACTTAGATAAGACAATTTGTCTCGCCTGGCGGCTGGCGGACACAAAATTGCATCGCCATCCACTGTGGCAAAAAGGTACGGAAAATTCTGTTAATTTTTTTGCCAGGATTCTCCGTAGCCCTCTTATCAATATTCTCCGTAGGACCTGGAAGACTGAACGGAGATCACTGTTAGGTCCTACGGAGAATACTGTGCGGTCCTACGGAAAATACTGTAAGACCCTACGGAGAATACTGACAAGGGGGCTACGGAGAATTACCACAAGCTGTTTACACAATTTTCCGTAGCTTTTTGCCACAGTGTCGGATGTGCTTAAAATTATATCATTCATTGGGACAAAAAAATCCCATGACATTCAGTGTGTAAGTTGTAAGATGTTCGCAGTGCATCGACTGTGACGTCATGTTCGTTACTGAACTTTGTGTCGTTCGTGATGTCACCTTCATTTGAATGTTGACCCACACACTAATTGTCAGGGGTTTTTTTTTGTCCCACGGTTTATGCAATTTTAAGCACATCCGGTGGTGATGCAATTTTGTGTCCGCCAGGCGGGACAAATTGTTTTGTGGAAGTAGAAGTTGCAGCTGGCGCCGGACAAAATGTGTCACCAGACGGGAACAAAATTGTATCAGTGTCGGATGTGCTTAAAATTGCATAAACCGTGGGACAAAAAAAGTCCCATGACATTTAGTGTGCACGTTCTAACGATTGTGTCATCGTCAAACGAATGAGACAAAATTCACATATTTACGAATATGACATCATATTCGTTCTATGCTACTGCCTTTTTTCCCCAGTATGACATAGTAGTAGGGTCATTCCATGGGGGTTCGACATACTTTTGCAAGTGATCTCTCCGATTCCGATGAAACTTTGCGAGCTTGTTGGCTATGGTCTGAAACCCCCCAAAAACCAATTTTGAGCAAAAAATACCGATTTTTGAAAAAGTTATGGCTTGCGTTAAAAATTTTGATTTTCGATGCAGCCCTTTTTTTGAAAACGCTGTAGTTTCTTCAAAACTGAAGCTACAGAGCTCATTCTGGGCGCATTAGAAAGGTATTGAATTAAACTTTAAGCCTATTGCAACATTTTGACAAAAATGTTCAAATTTGACATACATTGAACAAAGTCAACATTTTGAACACAATTTTCTCAAAAGTAGTTTTTTTGATTTTTTTTCTTTTTGATATGTTATAGTCCATACTTTAGTCTAGAAACCCTAAAAATTTTGGGTTTAAAAAAATTCATAAAAAGGAAGAAAAACGGTTTTTAGTGTTGCGATTCGGCAAATTTTCGCTAGTTGGAGTGGTGGGGAGAGCAGCATGATGCACATTTGAGACCGCAGGTTGTCGATCTCGAACTTCTAGTGTCACTTGGAACATTTTTTTGGGGGTGCTGAACTTAAAAATTAGATCAGTTTTCGTTTTAAAAATTCCCAGGGTGGATAAAGGGGGGGTGACTTTTAAAAAATCAGGATTTTCGGATGTTGCAACGCGTTTTCTATGTTTTTTGGGGTGGAGATATCGAATCTTGCACGATGTTGAATGCAAGTTGGCCCTAAAGCTGATCTAACGTATTGTTAGAACATAAAAGTGTGCAAATAGAAGATCAAAATAGCCCCCAAATGTGAACAACTTTGGCCCGTTGCAAAAAGTAAAGCTAGCGTTGTTACTCACACCCCTGTAGACATAAGAATAAACATGCGACATCCAAACATCTTAATTCCGAAAAGTCCCCCCCATTGACGCACCCCGTTATTAAGATTACCAGGGGCGGATCAAGAGGGGTGATTTTTAAAAATCAAAATTTTTGTATGTTGCATATCGTTTCTCATACTTTCTGATTTTCGAAAAGTCACCCCTCTTGATCCGCCCCTGGTAATCTCAAAAAAGGGGGTGCGGAAATGGGGGTGATTTTTCCCGAATTCGAGATGTTTGGAGGGGCATGTTGATTATGTCTACGGGGGTGTGAGTAACAACGCTAGCTTTACTTTTTGCAACGGGCCAAAGTTGTTCACATTTGGGGGCTATTTTTATCTTCTATTTGCACACTTTTATGTTCTAACGATACGTTAGATCAGCTTTAGGGCCAACTTGCATTCAACATCGTTCAAGATTCGATATCTCCACCCCAAAAAAAATAGAAATCGCGTTGCAACATCCAAAAACCTGATTTTTTAAAAGTCACCCCCCTTTATCCGCCCCTGGGGAAAGTTGAAAACGAAAACTGATCTAATTTTTTAGTTCAGCACCCCAAAAAAATGTTCCAAGTGACACTAGAAGTTCGAGATCGACAACCTGCGGTCTCAAATGTGCATCATGCTGCTCTCCTCACCACTCCAACTAGCGAAAATTTGCCGAATCGCAACACTAAAAACCGTTTTTTTTCCTTGTTTATGAATTTTTCAAACCAAAATTTTTAGGGTTGCTAGACTAAAGTATGGACTATAACATATCAAAAAAGAAAAAAAAACAAAAAACTACTTTTGAGAAAATTGTGTTCAAAATTTTGACTTTTTCAAAGTATGTCAAATTTTAAAATTTTTGTCAAAATGTTGCAATAGGCTTAAAGTTTAATTCAATACCTTTCTAATGCGCCCAGAATGAGCTCTGTAGCTTCAGTTTTGAAGAAACTACAGCGTTTTCAAAAAAGGTCTGCATCGAAAATCAAAAATTTTTAACGCAAGCCATAACTTTTTCAAAAAACGGGATTTTTTGCTCAAAATTGGTTTTTGGGGGGTTTCAGACCATAGCCAACAAGCTCGCAAAGTTTCATCGGAATCGGAGAGATCACTTGCAAAAGTATGTCGAACCCCCATGGAATGACCCAGTATTTAAATGAACTTGACATTTGTTCATGTTCAAGACGTCACATTCATTCAATAAAACATATCGCTGTTTGGGTCGAGGCTTAAGACAAGATGTTCTCACTATCTCCACTTTTACGTGCAGGAATCTTCCCGTCGCCGCATGTGATGGAATGGACGCCGAGCCGCCCGTCTCTGACCTGTCTCCGTCTCCGGCGTCGTCGTTGTCCGATGAGGAGCTCATCTCTGCTCTTTCCTCTGCTGTGAAATGTGTTGTGGTCGCGGTAGCTCTACCTTACGTAATAAGTGCTGCAGCACTCAAGCTTTTGGCATTGATTGGCTTCGGGTTCATTGGCATCACGGCCGGCAGCATCGCCGCGGCATTCCAGGTGGGTTCTTACTCGACAATTTTCGGCCGTTCGAAAATTTCGTGCCTTTTTTTGCGTGACACTTGGGTGATTTCATGCCAAGCTAACGAAATCTTGGAAATTCATCTCTTCGATTTGGATGAAACTTTTTTTTTTAGGGGTAGGGGTCATTATGAAAAGATCCCATGTCAAAGGGTTTTGCGTCTACCCCGTTTGGCTATAATAACAAAGCGAAGTTTTCACTTTGGTCAGAATCATGAAATTTACTTTACTTTTTTCCGTACTTACTGAAAGTTTTTAGATTTTTTCCGACATTGCTTCTTTACGTAAAAAGAGCTTCTTTACGTAAAAACACGATGGAAATAGTTTCGAGACGATTGGGTGAAGTTTTGATGTCACTTTCTCCACTTAAAGTATTTTTTTCTGAAAAATCGATGTTTTTAAAATAGCTCATCTTCGATTTCGATGTGACTTTCCTCACATGATCCTCTCACATATTGCAAGAAAACCGAAGAAAACCCTTAAAGGATTTGGTCGGCCCACCGTAAGTTTCTGAATAAGAAAAGATGTATCATTTTGGACGTTTTTCTTGATTTCTCGAACCAACTTTCTGAGTTTGGGTCAAGCTTGTAACCCGTGAGCACTTAAATTTTGTCTCGTCGAGACGAACCTATTGATATATAGAAAAGTCATTTTGGACAATTTTGAAAATTTACACGCTATTTCAGTATGAGAGAAACTAGGGTAAATTTTCAAAACTGTCCAAAATGACTTTTCTATATATCAATGGATTCGTCTCGACGAGACAAAATTTAAGTGCTCACGAGAAGGCCGAGAAACGCAATATTTTTTGATATTGCAAAACGTAATAGCGCGCCAAAGTTTTTTCATGGCATTACAAACTTAAAGTGACCCTCGCGCATCGACGTTGAAAATACAAAATTTTGGCTTTAACGAAGTTTTCTTGGAAAAAAATGCCGAAAATGCCCTGACAGACAGATTGACGTTCCCGCGACGGAAATAGAATCGTCTGCTCAATGCTTTATCAATTCAAGACCACCGGAAATTGAATTTATTTTACTTTCAAAGTACAACAATTGCTGTACAAAGTACAAATGAACCGGCATGACGAGTGAGTCCGGGCCTCGTTGTGGTTTGTCCAACTCTCCTTGTACTTCCCACTTTTCCTTAGTGTGACATGCATCTACACAAATGTCATGGGACATTTTTGTTCCCACACGAGTCATACGATTTGAAGCACATCCGACGGTGATACAATTTGATTTCTGCCTGGCGACAAAAATGAACCAACTTGTACGTTTCTTAAACGATTTCTATTGCCTGGTGGACAGCCGGATGTGCTTAAAATTGCAAATTCCATGGGACCAGAAAAAAGTTCCAGGACATTTAGTGTAACGAATGAAACATGTATGTACTTAAAGTAATTATTTTGATCCTTGTTTTGTATGATTTTAGAGCTGCTTCGGAACACCTTGGATATTCCGGTGTCTACAGAGTCTTGCCATGAGGGGAGTGCCGATGTCTTCTAGCGTCTCAGGCGGTTTAGCGACGGTTGGAGCACTACAGCTAAGAAACGTTTGTGCGGACAGCAAAGACGTGCCTGCGGCATAGGATGTCAAGCGCTACCGGAAATTAAAATTCCCGGCGTTTTTCTCGGATTTCCCGGGGCTTGTCTGAATTCCCGGACATTTGAAACCAAATGTCAGGTTTGATGGACTTAACACCCTACATAATGAACAAAATGAAAAAACTAGAGATAGAAATAAATATTACCTTTTTGGTAAGGGATAAAAAGTAGGTACGAGGCACAAATGTGTAACAATCCACACCTTAATCCTTTTCCTGATGCTGACTTCGGGTTCGTCATAGCACCAGTGCACTCTAAATCAGAGTGGCCACTCAATCCTAGAATCTTAATTTCCTTTTTTTTTTTCAGGCTAGAAACAGGTAATTTTTCGGGGGCTTCTAAAAGCGCTCACAGCACTGTCCATATCAATCTTTCAGTTTTCCACATAAGCGCACTAGAACCCCGCATTAAATACCGGTCTACTGTATTTACATGGTTTTTTTCGCTTAGTGCAGAATGACACGAGAATAAAAAGAACCATAAGGACAACTACTTGTGGCGAGCGGAGCGAGCCGAAAGCTAGCGAATTTTTGTGAACTGAAGTTAGTTTATGACAAATTAGACCGTGATTGTACTGTCTTAAGAGACTTTACCGATTTTCCCAGTTATCTGATGAAATTCACGTTATTTTCCGGTTTGCCCCAGCATAATTTTTATCCCGGATTCATCCCAGTTTTCCGGGTCGGTGGCCACCATGTTATGTTATGTCCAGTTTTGTACGAGACATCACAGTTTTTTGTGCTAATGATTTTTCCGTCCAATTTTTGTGCAAAAAACTGCGTGTATTTCCCCATTTTTTTTTCAAACTGGCGTTCAAATTTGTACGATAAGTTCATCTGCACTAAAAATTGAGACCTCTCTTACAAAATTTGCACAAAATCATTCAGTGTCCACGGGTACACTTCTCAGGCAGCTTGTTGTCCGATAATCCGTGAACTGTACCAGATGTTGAAGGGAAAATTTGAATTGAAATTTGAAAATACATTTATAAGTCATTAATCAACCTGTTTATTTTTACTTTACCTACCGTCATACATAAAAGCAAACGTGTTCAAAAATCGTCTGTAAGATTCAAAGCTCCAAGAACATGCACACTAAAGTTAACATTGAGAAGACAACACGAGACATCCGTAGACAAGAACGCGCTAACAATCACAAATATATGAAAAGGGAAAGAGGCAGATGCCAGCTTCATACGGCTTTTACTCCTTGGAACAGTACTAAGATGACCAAAAGTCGAAATTGTTTCCTAATAAAACCAAGTTCTCATGATTTCTTGATAACACTTTAGCATGTCAAGTCGACTCAAATGAAAACTATTACAGACAAAAAGCTGGAAATGAAACTCTATTTCTTAGCATAAGTCACACACATGGGTGCCAGCTGACGCAAAGCTTAACTATTAAAAATTGAATTTAAAGGAAAATGATAAAGCACCCCAAAACACCAAACCTTGAAAAACTTGAGGCGATCCAACCTAATTGGAAAACAAAAGAGCAGTAAGAATTCCATTGCATACGGTGGGTTCGCGGTCAGATTCACAATTCTACTAACTTCCAAAAATTAGACAAGTGCCACCGATACAATGACGAACGAGTCCGAAACGAAGAACTATCGACCGCCGAAGGGGTCTTCTCGAAGACTTCGTTTCGGGTCATCTTCCTCTCTGCCGAAGTGATAGCGACGGAGCTCCTTGTTCACTTCCAGAACAGCCTGCTTGTACTCGGCAATCTTCCGCCCAGTGTCCTGAAACAAGTGCGTACAGAATGCATTGGACAACATCCTGCGAGAGGTCTACTCTAGTCAAACCGCCTCTTCGCAGGAACCGAGGCAGAAACTAGAAACATGACGACCCTCATCAGCCTGAAGATGAAAATGAATGAAAACTTGGTTTCCCAAGCAGCCTGCAAAAACTCAACAACTACTGAGTCTCATGGCCTGACAGTGGAGTCACACTGTGTTCAGGTGTAGTTCAACGTCTATGCCCACAAGAATGATTGGTTTTTGGACAGACAGATGTTTGAGTATGAAAAAAAGTTCCAAAGATCGGTGCCCGAAATTGACATCCATGTTCCGTCGTTTCGTTCAGCCCACAGAACTAGTCTGGTACAAGACATTCCCGTTCTGTTTCTTTCGATGGTAGCGAAACTTTTGTTCAGATTTTCGCGCACTGCAAAGTCCAAGTTTGCTTTCCACAAATTTCGCAAGCCTTTTGAATGCCAAAACTTGGCAAGCTTTGACCCGAAATGTTCAGAAGCTTGCCAAATTTTGGCATTCAAAACGGCCTGCCAATTTCATGGCAAGCAAACTTCCCTCTCGCTTTGCAGTGAAATGCGGAAAACCGGGCAGCTTTTAATGTAAGATTAGTACGAGAAATTCGCCTGCACCACAAAACACTACAACGTACCCTGCGAAATTGTGCATAAAGATAACAGTTACAAAAATCTACGGAATGAATTTTGCGATGATGAAGAAAAGGCCTTACGATGGATGGGTAACGGGAAACGAACCTACTCTACATATCGAAGAGCGTACATGGTATGCTCTAACTGGAGCATGCCTGCAAGCACGCTCTAGCTAGCGCATGCCTGCTAAGCATGCACTTACTAGTGCATACATGCCAAGTACACGCTAACTGAAGCATGCATCTAGTGCATAAGGGATAGGGAGTTGCCTGCATCAGGAAGCGTGTACATGGCATGTATGCACTAGCATGCTTGGCATGCACTAGCATGCTTGGCAGGCATGCGCTAGATAGAGTGTGCTAGCAGGCATGCTCCAGTTAGAGCATACAATGTATGCTCTTTGATTTCTAGAGTAAACAAATGCGAGGGCCTCTCACCTGGCTCCGAGGACCGCCGAACATGCCCATCATCGTGGCCAGCATGCCATTTTCCTGAGCCACCCGCAGACGGCGCAGGACGAGCCGCCGCAGCTCCATGAGGTGCAGCACGCGCGACTCGCAGGTGCCGGGCAGCAGGCGGTCCAGGGCCCGCAGCAGGCCGCGCGTCATCGCCTCCCAGCGGTCCAAGTCACCTGCGGGCACATCAGGGACAAACTTCACTTTTGGAAACAAGGGGAAAAGGCTATGAATTTCGGTACACGAACCCAATGAATTTCAGTCAAATTTCGACAACGTTCGGGGGATAATAAATAAATTACGATAAATTTCAAAACATTTATGAATTTCAATACAGTTCGATGATGAATTTCAATACATTTCGATAAACTTCAACACATTTCGATGAATTCCAACAAATTTCGATGAATTTCAATGAGTTCTGATGAGTTTCAATGATGTAAACGTTTGATGAATTTTGGTATACAAGTTGGGCTGGAGTTACTTCCCCTTGGTTAGAAAATAGCTCCGAAATTCTATGGAGAAAAACTATAATCATGTTCGTGGAGACTCCATTTACTTTCTCTCTTTTTTTGACGGAGAGTTCAGGGAGAGCCCCATGCAGAGGTTTCAGAAAAACTACAGAATTTTTCCACTTTTTGCGGAAATTTCTGATATTTATTGAGACTTAAGACGCACTTAGCACGTACCCGTCTAAATTCTTGAGGACATTTGGACGCATAAACATGCATGGACAGAAACGTGCACGCGAATTGTGTGAATAATATTCCTGCACATAAACAACAATGCTTGTGTACAAAAAGGTCACAAGCACTTGAAGTAAAGGCGCGGGAACATGACAGGGCGATCAAGGTCTGACGTCACCGACTCACCCGCGGAGGCTGTCTCGTCGGCTCTGCGGTGGAAGATGTCGGTCCTGATGTACTCGCTGGCACGCAACACCAGAGTGTGGGTGCGGTGCAGCGGGCCTCGCGGGTAGAGGTGGGCATCGATGAACTTGAACAGCCTGTCTGGTGAAGCGTCTGGCGACCAATGCAGAGAAGAACAATAAGTAACGAAATATTCGACTTCTGACAAATGATTGCGTTAGTATGCGGCTTTGAACCTTGTGACAGGATCTCATCAAAACATTTGGCATGCACCTTCGAGACAGACTGGAACTGACGTTCCGAAAAAAAAACAAAAAAAAAACGGAAGTTTCACAATAATTTTGAAAGAGTAGAATTCGAGAAAAGTCAGTCAATTTAAAATAGTCAATGTGTTTTAACTGAACGAGCATAGAACTTCTGACAAAAGAAACAAATTCGGTTTTCTCTGTTATTTCGATGTAAATTACAATAGTTGTAGATAGCTGTGCGGACGAAGTACACCAGGATAAAATCCGTTGGCTTGAACCTCTCCACTTTCATTGTGAAATCGAAATGTTCATTAAGCCCCATTTCAATTCAAGCTCTTGAAAAATCCAAATGAGGGACAGTCCCACACTTACACACACACTAATCATTATGCGCAATTTTGTTAGAGGCATCACAGTCTTCCCGTACAAAAAAAAAGGGGCTTGAGGAAGGCTAAAGGATGGCTCAGAAATAGGGGGGGGGGCAAAAATTTTGCCCCCCACCCCCTTATACATGCCTCCTGGACGTCTTAAGGATGTCTCCTGGCTGTCTCCAAAATGTCTACAGAATGTCTAATCGGCGATGGCTACAGAGAGTCTTTTCTGGGCGCTAAGTTTACTTTTCTATAGACATCCTCGATAGCTAGAGACTGTCTGAGGTTGGCGGGAGGATGGCTATTTCTGAGCCATCCTATAGCCTTCCTCAAGCCACTTTTTTTGTACGGGTTGAGAGCACACGAACTTTTCGTACAAACTTTGTACGAAAAACTGCACGTATTTCACAATTTTTGTGCAAAAATTGCATATAAATTTATACAAAAAGTTCGAGTGCACGAAAAACTGTGATGTCTCGTACAAGATTTGTATAAAACATTTATGGTTGGGGGGTGAGACTTGTCCACGCGTACGAGTCCACGGAGTCCCACGCTTGGATTCACACTGTTTAGGTAGAATTTTGTGCGTCGTGATGCACGATATTTAACCTGCGTGACATTTGCATGAAATTGTGCCGAAATTCGCATAAATTTATGCATTTTCACGCAAACTATCATGCAAATTGCCCGCATGCACAAAATCGTGCACGTGGCACGTAGAAAGTTCTACAGTAACATTTAGTGTGTTTGCAGTGCACTCACCGTGCAGCTCCATCAGCTGCTTGGACGCTGGCTCCGTCAGCGCCTTCACCGCGGCCGCAGTCATCTCCTTCTCGCAGCCCTCGCAGCGCCAGCGGCTGAGCTCCGCATTGGCAGGCACCAGGTAGCTCTGCTTGGACTGACCTGCTCGTGGAAGACGACAGGGGATCAAAACCACACGCTCATTTTCTTACGCACGTTCTTAAACGCATTACGATTATTTGTAATCGAAAGGTATTCGTTTTCATCGTGTTACGCATGTTTCATTCTTAAGTACGTCTGATTTCTTCGTAAGGAACGATGAATTTTGTCGTATTACGTATGCTTTGATTCTCACGTATGTAACGCATATCGTGTCATCACTTACTCAAAATACTTCGAAAGGTGTACACTGGTAAAGCTAAAGCGTAGCATTACCCTCTGTTTTCAAGCGTAATCAGGTTACGCTTGAAATCAAGCGTAACAGGCCCAACCGCCAAGATCCCCCCTATCTAAATGCATGGGGGAATTCCCAGAGTATGCTTCATTTCAAGCATAACGTCTTCAAGCGTAACTTTATGCTTGACTCAAGCATAGAGTTACGCTTTAGTTTTACCAGTGTGACGTGTGCAGAATCTCAACGTACCCGCACAGTCGGCGCAGCAGGGCGAGCCCACGTACATGCCGAGCTCGGTGGGGTCGCGGCAGCGCTCGCAGTGGCAGACGAAGCCCCAGCGCACCAACACGATGTCGCGGCGCCTCAGCGTGTCCTCGATCCAGTGGCAGCCCTGAGAAAGACATACAATTAGGGGCTGTCCACAAAATACGTCACGCGTTTTAGGGGAGGGGAGGGGGGTCGGCAAGGTGTGATGAGTTGTGACGCTGAGGAGGGTGGGGATGTCGGGTCTTGCGACGTATTTTTTAAGATTCTTCTTTAATACATTTTAGGGTGGGTACCGAAGAACGGGGTAAAATGTAAAATGAGACATGAAGGTAAATCGAGACAAAGCGCACTTTTTTCAGTTTTTGTCGAGTTGCTATCTAGCGGTTGTTCAGAAGACCACCGTGAATTTTTTTCGTGATCTTGGAGGCCGTGGCAGCTCACGAGAAACGCACGAAGGCTATAAGAGACTCGCCAGGGTTATTTAGGACCAAAGGAAAAACCTCTAAACTCTAAGAAGTTTTATAAAGTGAGTAAAAACCTCCCCAGAAACCTCGGTTCGGGTTCTCGTCCGAACGAGGTTTTAATCTGTAGGCAATTATGTCAACATAATCAGGACAAAATATGGACAGCCCATTAATGCCACACCATTACGTAAGACTACTGGGGTACTTGATAGAACTATAAAATCCGAGCTAGTGTCTAAGCCGAGCTAATTTCGCGTTTGACTCCACAATTGTGTTTTAGGGTTGGTGAAGATTCAGCCAGATGAAGATCTAGGTTAGTTCGGGCAAGTGACCAGGGTTTATGCAAAAAATAATTAAGAATTTCCCTGACTTTTCCCTGACTTCCCTGACGCGAAATTGCGAATTTCCCTGACATTTGACCGCATCGAAACATTGATTGAGTTGAACTCGAACGACCGGTGTCTCGCGCTCTCCTCAGCGGTTGTCCAGCAAACAGGTCCAGTGTCGCAGTAAGTATATTTTTCCCTGACATTTTGCTGTATTTTGCGAAATTCCCTGACATTTCCCTGATTTCCCTGACCTCATTTTTTTCCCTGACTTTTCCCTGATTTCAAGGTTTTCAAGGTTCGTATAAACCCTGAAGTGACAATTCGGGTTCGTGAAAGAGACTCCTTAAAATTGGGACGAGAAAGTGGAAGGTCTCTTCGCCTGCAAGGCGCACTCGCAGTATGATGTGAACTTTTTATTCTCTTGCCTAAGAGGTTATTTTTTTTTGGCAGACGTTAGTTGTACTAATTTCTCTTTGAATAAGCACAATTTCGATCGGTTTTTTTAGATAGAATTGTCAATAGATCATGTAGAAATCAAAATGCACATTGCAATTGACAAAAAGTCAGGTTTAATGGACTAAATTCCCTATAAAATGCACAAAAGCGTGCAAAGCTACAGAGAAAATAATACATGATACGTTCGCACAAAAAAGAAGAACTCTTTTGCAAAGAGTCTGAGACTGCGGGAACCGTCGGTTTAAAATAATTCCAACCTGGTGCATGTTGGTGATGCATTCACCGGCAGCGACGGCCCTCGTCGTGACCACGACGTACTCATTGAGTTCCTGGCGCAGCACTTTGCAACCCGTGTTGGGGAAGCAGCTGTGCTTCCTCAGGGACATCCCGACGTACAGGACTCCGTAGTAGGCCTGGAGCAGACACGAGACAAAGTCGCAATTCAAACATACTATCAATATGGAACCGACTTCACATGAGGTCGAGCATGAGGTAAAAGTTTTACCAGAGGCCTGAAAAAAGTTTTCGTCATTTTGGACAAAATGGTGAGTGAGTGGCTGAGAGTAAAATACGAAGCCAGAGAATACATCGTAGCCTACTGCGATAAACTTTGTTCAACGACCTTTCAAGAGTGTGCACTCTCAGACTGTGATTGACTTTTTATCCTTTGTTAAAGAGTACTTTACACAGCAATTAAACGTAATATTTCCTCAACATTAATATACGATTTTATTCGTTGTATTGACATTAAGTCTTGCTATTCAAAAAGTCAATACGCAATTGACTTCGAAAATAGCCAATAATTGATGACAATTAAGTCTATAAAGTGAACAATACTGCACGTGGTTACATAGGAAATACAACAGATTATTGCTGCTTAAAACCCTACGCAATTGCAAAGGACAAAAAGTCAATAATGGAGAGAAAAAAGTCAATACGAGTCTGAGTGTAAAATATGAAGCCAGAGAATACATCGCACTGCGAAATGCTTTGTGCAAGCCTTCAAGAGTGTACATTACTGTGTACTGGCGTGGACTGACCTGCTTGGCGACGTCGTCCCACCTGTCCGGACTGGGCCCGGAGATGGACTCGGCGAACATGCAGACGATGAGGGCGGCGCTGGCGAGCTCCGCCTCGGGGATCCACGAGATGCCCACGCGCTGGCGCAGGTGGCGGATCACCAGGGCGATGCACGTCTGGTAGCCCAGCATGTCGCGCGTGGCCTCGGGCGAGCTCTGCAACAACATGCACACACTTGACTACTTTTTTTGTGCACAAGCTTTACACCGTCAGATTCATGAAAGGGTCATCAGAACTTACGTTGAAATGAGAACATACGTACTACAATGAAATTCATGCGTAATACGATGAAATCATGCGCACCTTACGCTGAAATCTATGCATATTACGTATGTGCAAATTTATGCGTACCTTACGATGAAAAACCATCGTAATACGTATAAAAACGATCATAAGATGTTGAGAGTGTACACAAAATTACGAGGGGATAACGACTTTGGGAATCCGGCTGATAGCAAAGCTCTCTCCCTCCTTCCCTGCCTCTTCTAAAACCTACCTTGAGGCCCTTCTCGTCGAAATCCAAGTCACGCTTGAGATGCTGAAGCAGAGGGTTCTTTGGATACGCCAGAGCGACTCGCAGCGTGGCCACGCAGGCGCCGAGCAGGATGCCCCGGGCGTCGAGGACATGCTCTGAGGACGCAGGGAAAAGAAATGAATTAGAAATCCCTGCATAGGCAAAACAGTAGCAAACAGTCGAAAAGTTAAATGGGAAAACAGTAGCAAAAAATCAAAAAAGTTCATCAAAAAGTCGCAAAAAGAGTAAAAAAATTATCAACAAGCTAGGGCCCGCCCTTCCGTCGAACCGAGTTGCCAGCTCCGCTTCGCTGCGCCGGCAACTCGGTTCGACAGGGGGCCGGCCCAGCTTGGCCTGCCGGCGGCCTTTTCTCGGGCCTTCGGCCCTCGCATCAGACCCAACTTGGCCAGTCGAAGGCCCGGGCCTTCGGCCCGCTCGCATCACACACACCGTGAGCGGGTAAAGCAAAGTTATCGATGTACCATCGTGACTTAGGCCCGCCCTTCTATTCACAATATGCAATAGTCCTTACACTTTTTACTCCAACTGCCCTTAGAATATGCCCATTTCATTTGTCTCTTCGCCCTCATTCCGAAAATACCCATATTTGCCATGCCACTGCAACTCCTTGCAATAGAGGCACAGCAGGAGCGCAAAACGAGTCCGTCGCACTTTTTCCCATAACTCATGAAGGCGGGCTCCCTTCCGACCCATCGTTGAAGAGGTCTTGCCAAGACCTATCCAAAACTTAAGTAAAAATTTTCAGTCGGTCGACCCCCTTATTTCAAGATCCTGATGTGACTAATAGACGAAGTCGGGCTCCTGGACCCCCTTTCCGACCCCTCGTTGAAAAGGTCTTGCTGAGACCAATCGAAATCTGCAATAATTTTTTTTAGTCGGTCGACCCCCTTTTTTGAAGATCCTGATCCGGCCAACTTGTAAAAGCGGCCCATGGGGTCGCGACCAGGTCCATTCATCTTGTCTCGTCGCCCCGATTCCAAAAATACCCCTATGTGCCCTGCTAGCACCAATAATGGCGGAAATCCCCCTCCCGCTCATGTAAACCATGATGCACCTGCAGCAGCCCTTGTGCGACCCGGACGGGATTTGCACCACCGGATTATTTGTTGGGACGGTACTCCTGAAGTACCCTCCAAATCTGGTTACTCTAGCTCAACTCCTTCCTTGTACACAGACGCCAACAACAACAACACACAGACACAAAGGCAAATGCATAGGCCCTCCCCCTATTTTTTGAATAGAAGGGCGGGCCAAAAAGTCATATGAAAGTCGCAAAAAGTCCCTGCTGACTTTAAATCAGTGTACCCTCGCCGGCTCGGTTGGGGACTCCTTGGCCAAGAGGCACCATCGTTAGGTTAGGTTAGTGTACTCACCAAAGGGCACCTTGTACTTGGCGCGCTGGAACGCCTGGCACTCCGGCTGGTGGGCGCTGGCCTGGCTGCAGGCCTTGTCGCAGACGGGCAGCCCGCAGTGGCGGCACTGGCAGGGAGGCTGCACCTCACTCAGGTCGGCGCAGCACGCCACACACAGCATCTGCTCCAAAGCAAACACTCTCAGCACGTCACTAACTTTTTCCTCATCAATTACGTATTCGTGCAAGCAACAATAATACTTGGTATTTTCTAAGTGAAAAGGACTAATTTTCTTAGGAAGATTATGTACAAAACAAATTTTCAGTACATTATTTGCAATTTCCAGAGTAGTTCCTTAAAAAAAGAGAAGTACGTAATACGGTTGCACAATTACTTTCAGAAGTACTGACAAAACGAGCAAAAAGTCAGTAACGTGCTGGGGGCTTACAAAATCGTCAAGGGCAGTCTTGATGACAGTTCACACACCAAAGGTTTATGTGGAATTCTGTAGGTGTAACTTGAACGTGAGATTACGTGGAATTTTCATATATCGAGGGGTCCTATTCAAAAGATCTTATCTGCGCGTTCCCCCCAAGACAATCTTATCTTAAACGCAGGCAAATTCCACTCAGTTTGATCATTTGATACAGCTACAAATCAATATAATTTGTGATTAAAATCACTGAAATGTGAAGATGAAAGATCAAAGAAACCAACAGTGCATGCAGAAATATATTCCGCTTACTCTCGTACCCATCACAAGTGGTCAAACTGAGTGAAATTCGCCTGCGTTTAAGATAAGATTGTCTTGGGGGGAACGCGCAGATAAGATCTTTTGAATAGGACCCCTCGATATTATGGGTAGAAATGCCTAACATAAAGCGTCAAATGCGCAGTATTATGTCTAAAAAGGAATGCGTAAAAATACAAAAATTCATGGAAAGTTGAGCAGTATTTAATGCAAAACGTTGCACGGGTAAATCATGCAACACCACGTACAAAATTGTACACATATTTAACGTTTTGGCTCCAAAATCGCGCCAATTGATCTATTCAGTGAAGCAGCTGCTGACTCTGGGCCACTGTTATTCAAAGAACGAGACGTCATCACCGCGTCCATATTATACATCACTGAGTATATTTTGAGCACAGATACGTACGTTACTGCATAAAACGTACGTATCCACTGTGGCAAAAAGCTACGGAATATTCTGTAAACAGCTTGTGGTAATTCTCCGTAGCCCCCTTATCAATATTCTCCGTAGGCTCTTACAGTATTTGCTGTAGGACCGCACAGTATTCTCCGTAGGACCTTACAGTGATCTCCGTAGGACTATACAGTCTTCCATGTCCAACGGAGAAGACTGTGCGGACTTACAGAGAATACTGTGCGGCCCTACGGAGAATACTGTAAGAGCCTACGGAGAATATTGATAAGAGGGCTACGGAGAATTCTGGCAAAAAAATTAACAGAATTTTCCGTACCTTTTTGCCACTGTGTACTCTCATTTTAGGTGAACCCCCAAAAATTCATGGGGTCCAAACCGAATGTGATCATGTGAAATTAAACATAGTTGGGATTCGGGTTGGTGAGAGAAGTGTTGTGGACACACGGTCAAAAAAACGTGTTTAGTGTGTGCCAGTGTCTGTGCATGGATATAACTGTGCATGAAAATGTTCCACTTAAAATTTATAGTGTGTTAAAGACTGTTGAGCCCCGAAGGACGTCGTCGGGAGGCATTTGTTCCACCAGCAGGCCCCCGCACTCACCACATTCTCCTGGTTCTGGTTGTACGTGAGCGGCGACGCGGGGAAGGAGATGGAGGGCTGCTCGCGCATGATGACGGTGTGCGCGGGGATGTCCTTGGCGGCCACCAGGACGCCGTCGCGCAGCGCCACGCTGCCGCAGCCCGCCCGGTGCTTGGGCCAGTGCTTCTTCTGGTGCTCCTTGCCGCAGTAGCAGTGCACGCGGCACCGCGCGCAGGGCCGCCCGGGCTGGCCGCACACGGCGCACGGGCCCGTGGCAGCGGCTGCAAGCCGGCAGCCTCGTTAGGGACGGGTGCACTGAGATTCCAAACGCTATAGCACGTATGGTGCAATGCAGCTGCTCTGCAAACTCAACAGTGTACTCAGTACACTCTAGTTAGAGTGTGCTCATGAGTACACACCTAAGCACGCCTGGCAATTTATGCAGCTGAAAGTGTGTACTCATCTGAGTACACGCTAGTTAGGGTGTACTCATTCCTCATCCGAGTACACGCTAGTTAGGGTGTACTCATGAGCTGAGTACTGAGTGAGTACACTGTTGAGTTTGCAGAGTGAGATATCGCACCATAAGTGCAATGACATCAGGCATATTACACCTTGCGTGCAATGCGTCCCGAAAAGGCCCTACGCTAATGCATGGGAACGGGGAGGCATTGCACTTCATGTGCGCAATGCTTTTGAATTGCACCAATTGACGCTACACTCAGCGTTTGGATTCCCAGTGTGGTATCCGAGGGGTCCGCCACTCCGCTCAGGAGTGTACACAGGATTACTGAACAATTAAAACAGCGAAAATAGTCAGTTTGGTGATAACTGGACGACACGATCACCAGAGTGGTGGACCCCTCGGTGGTATCGATTAAAAGGAATTGGTATCGATTCCCCGTGCGCCTCGATTCCTTGGTATCGATTCTTTTAAGCAGGGATCCTTAACTTAACATTTAACTAACACTGCTTTCATAACGTTACATGACAATGCTCGCTGAAGGTAAAGGTTCGGACTTTAGCAAGGACTTCCAAAAGTATCTCAACACAAGTTCGAGACACAAGAAAAGTAACTTATAATTTTGAAAAGAATACGGAAGTTAAGGGTTATAACTTTAACTCGTACGATAACGTTAAGATGCCCTTTTGAGGTAAGTTAAGCATCCCTGCTTTTTAAGTTCTTTCGATCCTCCTCTCGATTCTTGAAAAGTTACAGGTTAATGGGAAAAATAATCCTTTAAAGAATTAATCTTTCAAAAATATTGTAAAGAATGTGACAGAACGTCACGTTTCTTTGAGCATTGTGTCACATTCGTTCGAGTAAGCTGATGAGCTAGCACCGCGAACTCGATGGTTTGAATTTTGACAAAACTTGGCACGCTCCAAACTGAAGTGTGTGCATAGCACACTTTTGTTCACGGCATGCTTTCAAGCACACTCATATTTACAGCATACTTGTTAGGCACTCGCTAAAATAGGATGTGCCTGGCAAGTACACGGTAAAAAAGAGTGTGCCTCCTACGTACAATTAAACTGGCCCATTGCTTTTATTTTATATCGGACTAATCGTGTATAATTACGCGCGTACTTGCAGGCACTGCAAATGCGAAGGCGATACTTGAGTTCATTTTTCGGCGATAAAATTAAGTATCGCCAATAAACAGCCTTACGGAAAAGTATTGCCTTCAAAACGGCGATACACAAAAGTATCGCCAAAATTTGGCGATACTTTTTGGTATCGCCAAAACCACGGCATTGAACTAGGAACTTGTCCGCTTGATTTGTTCAACGTTTATTGCCAAATCGTGGCAGTACTCCGAAGTATCGCCAAATTTTGGCGATACTTTTGTGTATCGCCGTTTTGAAGGCAATACTTTTTCGAAAGGCCGTCTATTGGCGATACTTAATTGTATCGCCAAAAAAAGGTACCAAAAGTATTGCCTTTGGATTTACAGTGGGCACACTCTTATTCAGCGTAATGTCAGGCACACTCTATTTTAGCGTGTGCTTGGAAGTATGCTGTCAAAACGAGTGTGCTTGGAAGCCGGTTGTAAATTAGAATGTACTTTGTACACACTTTAGTTCGGAGAGTAGTGCTGTTAGACCATATTTAACGTTAAGTTCAAATATTTCATTAAAAATTTTATGGCTTTCTAACATACTTTCAGAATTCAGACTAAAATAACCGAAGTTTCAGTAATAAGTTCATACAAATAATGGCTAAAACGTATGATGAGTATTGAATTCACTTACTATGGCAGATGGGGTGGTCGGCTGACATGATGGAGAAAACACCCGATGTTCAGGACAGCTGGCTCCAAAAAAAAAACCTGACAAGCAGACAAATGGAGGCAACTATGAGATCATTCGTACGTACTCATGAGCTGAGCAGGAGTATCCGAGTTAAGTGCGTCGAAACGTAACTTCCGGTCACGCCCCCTACACTCTCAACATGGCAACAAACATACGAAAGTAGACGAGATGGATGTACGTTTCGCGCAGACGTTAGACAGACTCATCAAAACGTCGACGTTGAACAACGTTTCGCTCTACACTGCAATTACTGACGAACGGGAGATCCAAGATTCCTTCATTAAGGGTAAATCAGGACACGCAAATAAGTTGCAACTTGGTATAAGTGAAAGCTCAAAAGGTTGCTTCGTAGTTAGAGAATGTAGTTCAAACGAGGCAGAACGGTGACGTAGGAGTTCGTTCTCACAAAATTTATCAAGACTCATCTTCTTCCTTTCTGACGTTCTTAAAACACTGATAAAAACTAAAGCGTAACTCTATGCTTGAGTCCAGCCTTAAGTTACGCTTGAGGACGTTGCGCTTGAGATGAAGCATAGACTAGAAATTTCCCCTTGCAGTTTGAGAGGAGGAATTTTGACATATGAGCCTGTTACGCTTGATTTCAAGTGTAGACTGCGTAAACTGATGACGCTTGAAAACGCAGGGTAGCTCTACGCTCGACGATGCTTTAGTGTTACCCGTGAAACGCCTTATTCCGTTGATGATTCGGGTTGATAAGAGAACGTACACTGTGGCAAAAAGGTACGGAAAATTCTGTTTATTTTTTGCCAGGATTCTCCGTAGCCCTCTTATCAATATTCTTCGTAGGACTAGGACCTGGATGACTGTGTAGTCCTACAGAGAAGACTGTACAGTCTTCCGTATACGGTCCTACGGAGAATATTGACAAGGGGGCTACGGAGAATTACCACAAGCTGGTTACAGAATATACCGTAGTTTTGTGCCGCTGCGTAACGCAACATCGCCCTCTGCTCATTTCGTCAGCAACTGCGCTGTCAGACCAACCGTTCAAATTGAGCTCAAGAACTCCGTTTGTTAGCGTTACGTGAAGACGAAGGAAGTCAAATGCAGCAGCGAGGAGGAGGGTAGACCTCGGGCGGAAAAAGTAAGAGAAGGGTAGTACTTTTTACCGCGAAACACGAACGAAAACCGGCAGCAGAAATTAATTCCACGGCCTTGCGGTTTGTCCGATCGGAGGAAGCGAGAGTTCCGTCTGTGGTTGTCAACCCTAAATAAACTTTCCAATCCCTGAAGGGTATTTCAGTGGGGGCCTGGACCGGATGTCGAAAGCTGCTATCTGGACCGTAAACACATATACGTGCTTTTTTCAAAGTGTCACAGTGATGACGTAACTACTTAGCTTTGAAATTAGGTGATATTTCCGCAATAGGATACTTTCGGAGAAGAGGTGGACCGGAAGTTAAGAAGTAATCAAGACGAACAATCACCGGATTTGTATGAGATTATAACTCTGAGGCAGTGGCAGAACGGCGACGCAGACGCTCCATCTCACAAATTCCCTATACCTTGATCTTGATTCCTTCTCAACTTCCATTCCACTTCAGCTCTTCCGCAAAGAACCCTTGAAAAACATTGAGGCCGTTGCGTCTCGTCCTTCGCTCGTTCTGCTACACGAGTTTCCGGCCTCTCGCTTCCGGTCCCGACCGAATAAACACCCTAAATTTACCGGTCTAAAGGTCGGCTGGCTTGGTGGTATAAAACCAGATCCTCTTCACATAGTTTCAGGACTAAAGAGTCAGTGAAATTTGAGGATCACCACGCACACTACTATATTGATGTACCGCTCGGTTTTCGCCGACCGCTTATATTACGAAACCTCTCTAAATAAATCCATTTCCCCATACATTCACGGGACCTGTGACTTGTGAAATGTGAAGGCGCTTTTCGTTTACCGTCTCAGAAAGGCTGAACCGAAGCCGCAAACGAATACGACTGCGCACCAGGGGTAGTGCTACGCCGGAGCACCCTCATCTTTCACGAAACTTTGCATTTTTGGTCTCAGGCTTCGCTGAAATATTTACCCTCTTGATTAGACACAAGATTCTGAGTGAATCCTGGTCCTCAACCGGCTGCCGAACTGAGCTGGTTGAATGCAACCCCCAATCGGCTTGCGTACTTTAGTTCGGTAGGTCGGTACAACCCACATCGGGATTGCACACCCTTTGATCTCAAAGCAAGTTGAGAAATCGGCCAAGCACATGCACCAATAGACTATTCAGTCGTCGTCACCTGAAGAACAGGAAGAATCACAAAACCGGGAAAAGAGTAGGTCGGAAGTAGGTAGTGAGCTTGGTTTCAGGGAGTAATGTGGACATATATATCTCTTCCCTTTGCCGAAAAGTATTTGACTCAACTTAAATTGATTTTGATAAAGTGTCGACTCGAAAACTTTTTAAATGATGCACTCGAACGGATGAGTGAGGTTAAGTTGCCGGCGCCATCTCCGGTTTTGTGATTCTTCTTGTTCTTCAGTCGGCGACGACTAGAATGGTCTATTCTGGTACCGCGAGTCCAAGTACCTATCTCGTTTCGTTGGGCTGTTGTTGAGATACCCGGAAACTTCGTTGTGTACAACCCTCAGCGCTCTTTCGTGCAGACCGTTCCTAAAGATTTCTGTGTCCAGTTGCGACCCTGCCTGCCAGACACACTAACGTTCGCCCGCTGGAGTAGCTGCAGCTTCTCTTCTTCCCAACGTCAACGTGAAGTTGGCGTCCCAGAAACACGTCGGACACGATCAACTCGGTGAAAAGCACCGGTTAGTATAGAGCTATCGTCGCCTCACTTCAAGGTTCTAACGCGGAACAAAGCGTGGTAGAGATTGATACAATCAGGGTACTTTCGTAGATCCTGAACCGGAAGCAAGCACACGCCATATTGGCCGGAAACTAACCTCCCCTCGGATCTAGCACTATAGCCGCGCTGTACAAATATTGCTCGCAAAACGCATCTGTAGATAGAGCAACTCTATCTAGGATGAAGGGGGGCCTGGGGGGCATGCAACAAGTTAGAAGTAACCGATGATGGACAAGCCATTGCCTGCCGAAGGCAGGCTAGCGCCGCAGGCCAAGGTAGGTGTAAACGCTGGGCGTGGATTGTCGAAACCTGCGCAGCCGCGAAGCCTGTTACGACAAGACACGGTCTGGCGTACACCTACCCTGTATTCTGCTGAGCTATTTGCTGTCGTCACACGCTCAGACCTATATGGACATTCTTCTCTCTTGCTTATAGAGGTTTTTGAGCAAACGTTTAATGTACTATTTTCTCCTTAACTATGCACAATTTTGATCGATGTAAGGATATAGTTGTCAATAGATCATATAGAAATAGAAAAGTACATTGCAAATGACATTCAGTCCGGTTTAATGGACTATTAACATTATACAAAGAACAAAATAGTGCATAGCCAAAGAGAAAATAGTACATATTACGTTTGCACAAAAACCTTCATGGCAAAAGATAAAAAGTCCATACGAGTCTGAGAGTGCAAGTAAGTCATGTTTCGTCATTTTCCTAGACCACTGCATGGTAAAATCCCGAACATTTTTTACTGTGTGACCACCAGCTGTTTTTTCCCTGAATTCTGAGAAGGGCTGGTGTTTGCTCAAGTTTTAGTGCTCCTTACTCGCGCTGCTCGCTGGGGGCTCCGCCCCCAGACCCCCGCATGTGTGGGGCGCGTGCCGAAGTATTTTCCGTGGTGACCAAACGCAAATTTTCTAAGGAAGTAAATGTGCTGCTTCTTTGAAAGGTCTATTTAACAGCTTTTGACCATATAATTAAGCTACTTTTACTGCCCAAATAGATAGCTTGTGTTGCATTGGCTACTGTGGCAGTCAATGGGTGCATACAAGGTCCGGAAAATATTGAAGACTGCTTTGACAAGGATAGAGGTGAATGGAAAAAACCGTGAGTCTCTACGACCACTCCTTGACCCCAAACATTTCTATGAGTGAGTCAGTGAGTGAGTCAGTCAGTCGGATTGGGGCTATATAGATTCTTGATGATGATGATTTACCCAAATGCCGGTGGCGGGGACCCGACTGCTGCAGTTTCGGAAATTCTCGACCAGACCTACCGATGGGGCGAATAAAAATTTTTAGTCATTCGGTCCCCTTTTTAGAAGATTGAGTAGGTTTGCTCGGAAACGGTGAGAAATTTTCAACTTTTGGGATATTTCCCTATTTTCCCATTAAATTTGGAATCGAATGGAAAAAGCCGCAAGTCTCTACGACTACTCCTTGACCCCAAACATTTCTATGAGTGAGTGAGTCAGTGGATGAGTCAGTGAGTCAGTCAGTTGAATTGGGGCTATATAGGTTCTTGATAAGTGGGGGAGTCAGTCAGTGGGTTTTTTGGGGCTATGTAGGTTCTTGATGATAATTGATGATTGATTTTGAGTATGTTGCCGGTGACGGCGACCCGATTGCGGCACAGTTTCGGAAATGTCTCGACCAGACCTACCGATGGGGCGAATAAAAATTTTTAGTCGGTTGGCCCCCTTTTTTTGAAGATTGAGTTTTTTTGTTAAATTTTAGGCCTATTTAATCGTTTTTGAGGATGTTGCTGGTGACGGGGACCCGATTGCGGCACAGTTTCTGAAATGTCTCGACCAGACCTACCGATGGGGCGAATAAAAAATTTTAGTCGGTCGGTCCCCTTTTTTGAAGATTGAGTGGATTTTGTTGAATTTAGGCATATTTAATCGTTTTTTTTAGGATGTTGCCGGTGACGGAGACCCGATTGCGGCACAGTTTTGGAAATGTCTCGACCAGACCTACCGATGGGGCGAATAAAAATTTTTAGTCGATCGGTCCCCTTTTTTGAAGATTGAGTAGGTTTGCTCGGAAACGGTGATAATATGTTCCCCTTTTTTGTAGATAAAGTAGGTTTTCTCGGAAAACGGTGAGGAATTTTCAACTTTTGGGTTTTTTCCCCAATTTTCCATAAAATTTGGAATTGAATGGAAAAAACCGCAAGTCTCTACGACCACTCCTTCACCCCAAACATTTCTATGAGTGAGTGAGTGAGTGAGTCAGTGAATCAGTCGGATTGGGGCTTTATAGGTTCTTGACGTTCTTACGACTGCAGACGTTCGGAAAGATATCGAGAAACAGTCGTCAAAATGCACAAGACCATTCGAGTTGTCGCAGAGGGAAGAATATGAAGAATTTCAAACGACAACTTTTTAGGACTCTTACTTGCAATTAAAAACTCTTTGCTTGGTAGAGGTTAGTTCGGAATAACGTGGCTGGTCAACAACTTGCCTGGACCGTCTACACTTGGTATGTGCGGAAATTAACTAACGCACTTGATTCCCGTTCCCGTTTATATAGGTTAGTCCACATCTCAAAGAGATGTGACTTTTCATAGAATTTGCTACGACGTTACACAAGTTTTATGAAATTTTCTGGTTGCTTTGAACTGTAATGGCGTTTATGAATATTCAATAAAGATTTGTAATGTAAATTCATCACAAATTTAACAGTGTTGGAGCAAGTACGGACGTTCTGTTCTTTTCTCCGTACCGCACTACTTTGATCTTTTGTATTTTCCGTGCCAAAGAACAGAATATTTTGCCGTGTCTGTGTGCTGAAACCGTGCATCCAATAGTAACCTAGCTTCCCATTTCCAGGTTTGTTTCCTCAGTTCCCACCCGTCTTGCCGAACGATGACGCTGGTGCGAGCAGCCTCCCTCGCGTCGCGACTCCTGCACACCGCGGCGTGGAAGCGCCCGGTGCAAGTGATGCTGCAGCACGCCACGGCGCCGAAGCGCCCGATGCAACTGATTCTGTTAACCCATGGAGTGTCCTATTCTTTCAAGTAAGGAATTCACTGCAAATACGGTGACAAGTTAGCTAGGGATAAAATTACAAGCTGTTTCGTAGCTATGTCAAAAAAATTGGCAAGCGTTAACTGAAATCTGCATCAGCTTGCAAGCATTTGGCGCTTTGGATGCCTGCAACGCCAAAGTTTGACGAAGCAGCGAGAGCCAGGCTTGCCAATGTTTGGCATGCATATAGTCTCGGCAATGATTTGGTCAGCAAAATTGGCAGCGGCTTTGCAGTGTTTCAATACATTAGGAACTCTGGCACCTGCGTCGTTCAATTTTGAGCTCAGTGCGGAGTTTCTCGTGACATTTTTACTTTCTGCCAAATAATTCCACTGCTACCTTTTGTTGATGTTTGAAGTAATTTTTAGTAACGATGAAAATAGTACCTTTAGAGGAATACTCGCGCTGCTCGCTGGGGGCTCCGCCCCCAGACCCCCGCATGTGTGGAGCGCGTGCCGAAGTATTTT